TTCTACACTTTCAATAATTATAAAATCACAAGTATTCTACTTTTCTCAGAACCATGTTTAGATAAAAGTTTAAAGAACACATCATTTGTGTATAATGTATGTCTAGATATTTTAGAAACAAACTACGTTCACGATAAATTCACTAATTCATTTAGTCATTCTAGTGTTTTTTTCAGGAGTGCCTAGTGCATGTCAGACAGTGGAGAAGCAGGTCATTGGCACAGTCCCATTGGAGCTACACTCTGGTTCTTTCGGTCTACAGGACAGTGTCTGCCAATACTGTAGAAGTGAATCAAGAAACAGGAATGGAATACAGAATGACTTTTATGATCTTGCTCACATATGCATGGCAATAGAAATAGTACTTCCTGGTTGCAGACTTACAGCACGTGTGTCAGGTAGAAACTCCTTGTACATGAGTTCAGGCATTCATTTCATACAAAAATGAAAGCTAAAATCACTTGTACCATGTGAACAAATGAAACAAGTGAGTTTGACCTCCAAGCTTTTCAGTTCGTGTAAAACTTCAAGCTTTCAATTCATGCAAAACTAAAAAAAAAAAAAAATCTGTTTATTTCTGGGAACTTTGTTCACACCTTCTTTGGCAGAGGAGAAGTGACTGAAAACACACCAAAGCAGAGAATGAAAGATTAACTTCCTGTTCAGATATTGAAATTTTCCAATAGAGGAAAGAAATTTTAAAGTCAGTTTCTATTCCTTAAAAAATAATATCCAGGGAATGTAAGAATCAAATAATATAGAAAAATAAAATTAATAATTTGTTTTTGTAATGTTCAAAAATTAAAAAGAAGTCCAATACACGTGATTTCAGGCATATATTCCTAATGGTTGAGTCTTGTAGATAGTTATCACATATGTTCACAGATAAACCTGTGATATGACTAATGCTAAAGATGGTCATTGCCTTTTCCAGATCAGTTCCTTAATAAAGATCATGATAATTGGAGAAGCAAGGTTAAAACTATGTCTTTTTCATAAGTTTTGGAGATGGTAGTAAATATTTTGGGGTACTTCAAATTCTTCTAAAAATATCTACCAAATGAACTACCTTTTGAAAATGAACCATTTTTTTTTTATGCAATAGGAGGCATTTCCTCAGTATCACATGTTTATTTTTTTTCTTTTTATCTTCTTTCAACCTCTTGGTCGATTGGCACGTATCACAAGTTTAAAAAGAAGGAATTAGGAAATCTAGCTTCGAGTTCTGGCTTCATTTTTTTGGACCTCCCTACCTCATTTAGAAACTGAGGGTTTGAGTTATTTTATTTGCCAAGTCTCTTCCAGTTCAACAACTTGCCTGTTTACTTTGAGGTATTTGAACTGTTTCAAGAAAATCTTGAATCACATTGAAAGAAGTTGCCATTGTATCCATATGGAAGTGCAGAACAAAACTTGCAAACAGTTGCTGCTCATTACAGCTGATATGCTATAAATGGTTGTTGACACTGAGACCAGATGTCGTGGAAAATCCTGCATCATTCCGAAGCAATGGAGTAGGGAAGGAACCTATGTGTGAGAATGTCCGTAGGCTCTATTTAGAAACCAACCTAAAAAGTGATTGCTTTGTAAGAGTTTAGAGATCGTCTCAATATAGAAAGACTGACATAACAGATTGTATTTAAGTTGTCATCATTAATACAGACATTTCTCAAGTTAGGAGCACGCATTACAAATATTAAATATTCTGCACATCGAAATGGCCAGCTGCAGGGGAATAGAATAGCTAATCACTAATGTGTGTATTGTCGCTACAGGGGACAGAGATCCCACTGGACTTTATCATTCCATAGATACTGATACAAGATATAATTCAGTAGCTTTATAATGTTCATTTGAGAGATGAAGGAACTAATTAATTAGCTCCAAGAGTCTGTGAGTTGCCCGAGTCCACAGAGTTAACAGGCAGGGCCAGGACAGGAACCCGCATGTTCACATTCTTTCCAGATTGTCGTGCTGCGGTTCCTCTCACGGTGCTCTGTCCCGTGGTCAACTGTGGCTGCATTGGAAGCCCTGTGTTTCTGCTCTCACCTGTCTCGTTCATCTTAGAAAATCAAAACAGTGGAATAGTAACAGATATGTGTGTAGGGGTGACCCTTTCTAAGGAGGTAGTCCCAGATTAGGGGAGAGATTCTATTCTTTCAACTTTGGTGGAAGAGTAGACAAATTATCGTCCTTTCTGTAGGCATTCAGAATTTAAATAACCTTGCCAATGAAATTTTGTAGTACAACATATTTTTTAAGTTGGAGGCTTTATGAGTGATAGTGAATCAAGAAAATCAGAATTGCCTGTCCCGGTTCAAATGTGGCTTTAGGAAGTCTTGGTGATTAAGCCTCCTATACCCTCACAAATCATAACAGGACTATCCCAACTGATGTATTCCAAAGAGCTATATGGAAATAAAACTTACGATATTTTTAATGTTTTGTCGGAGCTGCCATTTAAAGCAATCTTGTGACAAAACATCAAAAAGCAAATAGTCCTTTAATAAAGTCAATGATTATCCGAATTTTTCAGTTTTCATTCCATAATTCTGTATTTTAGGGTTGCCTGAAAGATATACATAAACAAGAAATCATTTCAGTGCTATTAATTTTTAAATCTATACAATCACCTTGAAATAGCCCTGCCTTTTCCTGTACATAACTGCAGCTGAACAGTCGTCATGGGTATAAAGTAAAACACTAATCCAGACGGATTTATTATTTTCCTGGATGACTCACAGGCCCTACAGTGAGGTCTTCTAGGTCATCTCTAGTTATGAATGTTTGCCCCAGTCCTTCATAGGTCATGCATGATAAAACTCTAAGGCATTCCATTTCTTCTGAATCGGCAGATACTTGGTGTTTAAGGGCATAATGCACACAGCCCTGCCCAGAGCTTTTTTATTTAGTGCTAAGAGTAAAAAAAACACGTTCAATTTTTTTAAATGTTTATTCACTAATGACACTGGCATTTGCTCAGCAAACTTCAATACCACTTGACTGAAAAGACCTAAAATAGCTGTGATGTCTAAAATGATTGGAACTCTTTTTTTTTTAATGAGTCTATGGTTGACAAATTAAGACAGATGTGTATTTGTAGAAATCCATGACATCTCAATGCTTTTGAATGGGAAGTTCACAAAGAAATAGAATGAGCTATTGCTTACAGTTTGATGCAGTTTCTCCAAGTTATTTATTCCATAAATCAATAGTTGGAAATTACTTCTTGATCAAACTTGAAAATATATTGAATGTGGCACACCATAAATTTTAGTTGTAAAAATAAAATATCAAATGTGAATAATTCAGTGCGATTAGATCCTATAGTATACTGAAAAACAACCAGAGTTCCAAATAATTTCGAATGTTAGGTTTTACTGAAAGTTATTTCAGCATGGAGATCTTTCATATTCTTGAGACATCATTCCATACTCCAAATTAATTTACGTGTTTCGTGCTGAGGCAGTTCAAAACCCCTATCAGCCCTAGAAAATAACAAGAGTTTTCTTACATTCGCTGATCGTCATAATAGTGATGAATCTGATGGCAGTGAGCAGCAGTAGCCTGAAGAAGTCTGGTACTCAATTAAAACCTACTTGCCCACACTCTGATTTCTTGTAGATTTAACCTAATTTCTTCCCAGCTCTGGTTATGGGTCTTTGCTAATTTGCATGGCTGGCTTAATTAGTAAGTTAAATACTGGTTTAGGCTGTGTTTACACAAGGTCAAAACAACCAACAGAATTAACTAATCAAGTAAGAAAAAAATAGCCAATTGGATAAAAAATATATATATAATTACTTGTTTGTCAACATATAAAGAAAATTAATCTGATTGACTGAATTTTTAGATGTTCAGACAATCATTTTGGCACTTGTAGAGCCCATTGTTCCCCAACTTTTTCCAGTCTGAGACACATCTCTAAATTCGCTGGTTCTTATCCCAAAGTAGGAAGACTTTGAGCCACTCTCCCATATATACACCAATCCAGCCATATATGCATCCAGATAGCTGGGGTTTGTATACCCTTAGCTGTGTATGTTAATCAGCCTTCTTTTCCTGACCATCTTCTCCCATCATTTCTTAAAATCCACAAAGGGAGTCCAGGGAAATTGAATACTTTGCCCTGGAGCTTATTTTCAAAGTATTAATGTGTCCTGATGCACTGGTTGGGAAACAGTGGTGTAGACACAGCCTTATTCCAAGACTGAATTATCAGTGTTTGAGTAATGATAAATACCCAAGAAAATAAAAACGTGTCTTTCTCATGGTGTTCTGAGATGGGAGCCTAAGTATATAAGTAATGCTTTGAGTCATACTTTGAAGAAATGTAAATTATGTTTTAAAAGCTGGCTTGTAAAGAAAAAAGCTAGCTATAACATTTGGCAAATAGTAGTATACTCTTTCTGCCTTTAAGAATAAACAGATTCTTAAAGACAGCAATTTTAATTCATAATTCAAAGTGTCCAGAATTTGTGCAGAAATTGTTTGGAAACATTGAGAAATCAAAATCACTACATTTGGGTCCAAACTCTTGAAGTTAACTAGGATTCAATTTGCAAGTTTCATTTGCCAAATGTCTGTAGATTGGTCCAACTCTTGTTATCATTTTGCCAAGTTTCCTTCTGCTGAAAATGTCTGCTCTCTGTTAGGCTTCTAAGTCAATGTCTGTGGCCAAGTGTGAACCTTGGGCGGTCGGTGGAACATGTGAGCAGGTCAAGACAGCTGCTTTCACTCATTTGGTCTCTCCCCAACTGTATTCTATCTTCTATCAAGTATCTCCCCAGTACATGCATGCATCTGTCTGAAGCCTGCACACATGAGAATTTTTAATCACTTTCTAACTATGTTTTCCCTGGGATTTAGGAATGGCAGTCTCCGAGAGAGATAACAGTGCATGACTTTTTTTTTTTCCTAATCCTATAAAATGTTAGTTTTGAATAGTCACTTAAAATAGGTTCTCACTTCAGTCTCTCTTTTTTTCTTTCTAAATAAAGCCTGAGAATTTGCTTTTAGCTAGCAAATCCAAGGGAGCAGCTGTGAAATTGGCAGACTTTGGCTTAGCCATAGAAGTTCAAGGAGACCAGCAGGCGTGGTTTGGTGAGTAGCGCCTCTCTCTCCTTTTCTCTCTCCTTCATGCCACCTGTAGTCTTCTGGCTTCTAACCTCTGGCTTCTAGTCGCATTTCCCAGCCAAAATAAAATGGAAAAGTTCACACTAACAACAATTTGACTAATTTTAAGATATTGAACCTTATAAGCACTTAATTTTACTATAATTAAAGGATATATAATCTAGAAATAATTTAAAAGAAAATATTAATGGGAGAGCAAGAACACATATACTTTTTTCCTTAAAGTATGGGCGAGAAAATGGATCCTATACTAAGAATTAATTGGATGACTGCAATATTCAAAGAGTATTGTTTTTAATTTGAGAGGAAGTTGATTGTTTACATACAACCTCACACGTTGTGAAAAGCTGCTATATAAATTGTAGGTACCCA